AATATTTGAATCAAAAGATCAATAGTGAACGCGCTCGGAGCGAATTTTCGAACACGATATAAAATATGCATGTTAAGACTAAATAATTTCTCATAAGCTTATGTTTTAATATAATATAATTAATTACTGAAGAATATATTAACTCCGATCAAACTATAGTATTAATTGTTTGACAAACTATTTAAATCAAATGATCAACACTGAACGCGCTCGGAGCGAATTCTGGAACACTTCATAAAATATTTACAGAGGAAGTATATTATTTGGTAGAGATCAAAATGTATTTAACAAAGTGTGATTGAATTTGGCATTACTCTCAGAAGAACCATCCTATAAAGTCAAACTGAAAAAAATCTGTATGAATTTTGAATCGTTTGTTTATATTTTTTTACATAATAGTATCTTAAAAGAGAGCCGCACTGAGTTGTCAATAACACCTTGTTTAATACACCCACGATACAAATATTTAAAGGTAAAACCGCTGGCTCATTTCGTCGGCCATAATTTATTTTTTGAAGTTTGTCTATTTTATAAAATTGAAATTTTGAGAGCAACTCAAATGCCAAATAAAAGTAAAACAAAAAATAAATAGATGAAAATATTGAAATTTTCATTTATTTGAGACTGAAAATGAGAATGTATTTGTGAGATTGGAAATTTGAAAACATTTTTGTAATGTTAGCAAACTTTAAAAATGTTCAGGCTGCCTCTCAGCGGTTTACCTTCAGATTTTTGTATCATGAATACACCTTGGTCGAGATATCACGAACAAGTTTTCCTTTATTTATTTTTACTTAAAATCCTTAAATATGTATCTTGAGTTTTTTCTGTAGAATACGTATTAATTTTTTTAACGATTTTAAAAAACCAGAACGACCTGAATGCGTATTGAAGTCGGTTGTATTTTTTGCTTAAAATTACTTGTTATTATTGAGATACAGTTTCGCTACTATTTAGAGATTTCTCGATATACTTTTTATACCCGAGCGCACTTGTGCACAAGGGTATTATAACTTTGTTCACATAACGGTGGTTTGTAACAGGCAAAACGAATCGAGATAGATATAGACAAATGTATACATAAATGATCAGAATGAAAAGAGAAATCGATTCAGCGGTGACTGTCTGTCCGTCCGTCCGTCCGTCTGTCCGTGAGTCTGTGCACACGATAACTCGAGTAAAAATTAAGATATCTTAACGAAACTTGGTACGTGTACTTATTTCGGGCGTAGGACGGATGGTATTGAAAATGGGCAAAATCGGACAATAACCACGCCTACCTCCCATATAACGGTAATTTTCAGAAATACAAAAACTGCGATATTTTAGTAACTACTAAAGATAATTCACTCAAAATTGATATTTATGATAAATTTTAGACGAAAAATAAGAATATTAACTTTTTTTTGAAAATGGGCGTAGCCACGCCCACTTATGGTTACATGTGTATATCTTGGTAACCGCTGCATCAATTTATCCCAAACTTGGCACAGTTGTTGGCCCTGGCACAACATACCAAATGGCCATAATTTTTAAAATCGGACAATAACCACGCCCACATCCCATATAACGGTAATTTCGAGAAATACGAAATCCTCGATAAATCAGTAAATATTAAAGCTAATTTATTCAAAATGATGGTTGCAACAATTCTTTGCCAGGAAATACGTTTATGGTAAAATTTTGGAAAATGGGCGTGGCACCGCCCACTTATGATCACGTATATGTACCTCGCTAACCGTGCTAGCAATTTGTACCAAACTCGGTATGGTTATTGTGCTTGCCACATAAAAGTAAACCATTGAAAATTGTTGAAATCGGACTAAAATTACGGCCGCTTTTCATATAACGGTAAATTTCAGAAATGCTTGAAATTTCAATATTTTGAAATTTAAGGACGCTAGTTTACTTAAAATTTATACACGCCGGCTTATCATGTAGCGGTAGCTTTCGGAAAGGTGGAAAACATATATTTAATACTTGCGCCGGGTATTTAATGTTCGGCTCCGCCCGAACTTAGACTTTCTTACTTGTTCATATTACTGTTATTTATTATTTTTCTTATTAGTCATTTATATGTTTAGGACTTACTGTGAGTGCTTTAAGATTCATTTTGTAAACATGTATGTACATATAAAAAACAATTGCGATATTTTATTTTAAATTATGAATTTTATTCGTGCAATTTTTTATGTTTAATAGTTTTGAGAACATTTTTTGGTTCTGTTGTATTCTTTTATTGCATGGCTTAAACTTTTTTCCTTTAAGTTATAATGTTGAAGATATGCCTTCTGCCTTTGTCAAGCACTTTAGCTAGGTGCGAGAAATTTAGCATATGCTCGTAAGAGCATAGAGTAGGTATACGGCTGTGCTGCCGCGATTCTCCAACAACTTGTCAAAGGAGAAAACATATTGGTGGCGGAATCCATCGTAGTCCGATTTTTCTTAAAATCTACGAAAAAGCGATCACTGAATCTGAACTGCTATGAACGTGTATATTCAAAGCAAGCGCTGCGTTCGTAGCTACTCGAACTTAATCGCATTTTCGTAGATTTCACGAAAAATCGGGCTACGATGGATTCTATGATAGCCTTGATTGGTTCATGCGATTATGACTTATGGATCGATTATGGATGGGAACAGAACCTCAGTTGGGTTGCCGATGGACAGCGCCACTGGTACAATTTAAAAAAAAAAAAGTTGAAAAAAGAAATAAAGTATCTCAATCATAATTTCCCGGCAGCCACAAAAATGCAGTTGCCAATATAGCAACTTAGTTGCCAGCTTTCCAGTTGCTAGTTGCCATCGGTAATACCATTTTAGCCACTGGCCAACCAACTGAAGTTCGGTTGTCCTCCGTAATCGACCCACCCATAAAATCGGAATCGAATATGCATGCACGTTCTGCAGAACGATAAATATTTTGTAAATGTGTGCTCCTCAGTATATCCAGTAAACAAACTTAGCAACTTTTTTCCACCAAATTTGGTCCCCATAAAGGACTAGTGTTGCAAGCAACGCTTTTTCGTCAAAAAGGGTGTTGTGCAGCAATTTTATGTGGTGAAAATTATTTTAGCACTGGAAAAATGGATAGAAAAAATATTGCAGTGCGATTGAACATCTCAGGTTTAGCTGAAATATAAATATATTAAGAATAATTATTTTTCTAATAAATACTTTTATTTTTATTTTACTGTGTCGAGGTCGTTGAACAAATATTTGTAATTCAGTATTTAAGTTAATTGTGAAATATATTGAATGCACAAATTAAGTTATGGGAGCGATTTATTCATAGAATTGGAAATAAGGTTGATGATATACTTTAAATAAATTGTGTCTGCGAAAATATATTTTCAGCATATGAATATAGTTGCGTTCGATAACAAAATTAGCCAACACCAGCCAACAATCAAAATCAAGAGAGTAAGCGAAAATTCTCTCCCAAAGAGAAGAAAAAGCAAAAAAGTAAACGAACAGGAAATTAGCCATCACTTGCAAAAACAGGAAGAAGAAGACACACCGGCTGACTTTGTTTATGTTTTATTTGTAAACAAACTGAAATTCATGTTGCCTCCATGGAAGAAAAAAGGAAAGTGAACGTTCAATATTCGCCAGGGACATTTCTAGAAGTAAAAACTAGTTGGCGCTATCATAAAGTCACATAGCAGGCAGCCAAAAAGCATATAAATACCAAAACTCGAAAAATACAATTTTGTTTGTTTACAAAAATTACAACCATATGTTTTGTGATCATATGTTTTCATGTTGGATAATTTTTGCTGACTAAAATTTTGCCAGTACAAAATGAACGCTTCTCTTGCATCAAAATTAACGCTTGCTCTCTCAATTTTTGTGTGTTGGATAATTTTTTGTCGTTATCGAACGCCATCCAGTAAAAATTTGGAAAAACTATTACAAATTTTTGACTTGTCGAACGCAACTTATACTTCTTAACATTTTCCCGAAATTTTACATACAGGTTCGAAATTATGCCAGTCACATTCAAATATCGTCGCTTGGATGGAAAATTTCCGTAAGCGTTATTTTGACAGTTTTTAGTTAAAGATGCAGTTATATATTTTAAAATCAGATATTTCGCTTTTTTGTTAGGAGTTTTTTGGATATCATCTTTAGTTTCCGAGTAATTGACTAAAATCATTTGGTACAAATTACGTTAGTAATGCTATCGTACTAAACTAATCCAGATCTTTCAAATAGCGTCATCTGTTTTTAAATATCTGCTTTAGTTTCCGACATATTCAGCCTTATCATTAGTTTCATTTTCTCGAACCGGGTCACCTTTTTACTTTTCGTTACGGTGTATTCACTACAGGTGGGTGAAAACATTTCTGGCGAATTTTTTTTTGGGCGAGACTCACGATTGGGCTGATTAGTGTAAAGTATCGTTAATTTATAAAAAATGTTATCACATTTGGCGTCTACGACAAAATTTTATTAAACTCATAAATGGTTGACAGTAAACTAAAAAATAAGATAATTTAAGAATTTCGTGAACTAGTACATAGCATTCTCCGACACTTTGGAGAAAATATGTAGTCGAGTTTCTGAGAAATTGCATCCCAAACTTCAATTGTGATTTCCTGAAACCTGCCGAAAGTAACATGCAACGATCTTTTATCTAGGCGACGATATAACATTTAGCTAAAATATGCATCTAAATAAATTATAAATGTCATTATTTTCGCAGTTGAAGCATATGCCAGGCGAGTAACAGGTAAATACATACATATGTAAGTATACCTAAATTACCACGTTGAGCTTGTATAACAATCTCTCTCTAATGCTTTAATTCTAGATACGTCCGGACCAATGCCCGACACAGTTATGTCTTTATTTAACAACGGCTCTATGACAAAATATTCAAGAAATATATTCTTAGATTTTTATTTACTTCATTTCATACATTAATATTGACCTGATTTTTTTTTAATAAATAACAGGAATAAATATTTAATAAGAAACTATTTCACTTAAGCTTAACCAACTTTTAGTTGCTCGGAGCTTATTTTGGAACGCTTCATGAAATATTTTCATAGACGGTAAATGCAATCCTGGGTGCATCGTTAATGAGCTGAAAAACCAAAACAAAATAAATTTGCGGAATGGAGCCTTTTCAAATGGACTTTACAAACGGCAATGGAATTCTGACATTATTCAAGGAATCGTGAATATAAGCTGCCTTCCATTTGGCATATTTGCGGGTTAAACCTTCAGAAAGTTAAAAAAAAAAACATTTTCTTTTTTTGTACATTATATATTTTTTTTGTGAAATAAATATACTCCACCTTGTACACCAAAAAATTTCTTTAAACCATCTTGCGCATGCAGTTTGTTGATCTTATCTTCACGGTTACCGAAATCACCTACCTCAACGTTGTGATTAGTTAGATTTCTTGAAGTGGGATCCAACAGTGAATATTTCGTGCACTTAATATCGTGCGCTTTGTGCAATTTGCGTTCGATCACAAAGTTGTCAGAAATTGGGCCACGTTGATGGTTATGCTTGACAATTCCACGTTTGTAGATCAATTCACGAACTGATTTAAGATTTGGATAACCCCATGTGATATAGGATTCGGCAATGCGTAGCATATTAACGGTTAAATTTGATGAACAAACCGTGGTTAATGTGGCGAACACAGAACAAACTGTCGCACTTTTGGTGCAACTTTGTTGATACCGCGGATACAGATCACAAAAGCCAATTTGTCTTCCGCAGGCACGTAGAATGAGCAGCGTTTCTTTGCCAGGCAGCGCAACTTATTCTCACGGCGTCCATCACGGAGATATTTTGCTTGATATTTCTCAGATGCAACAAGTTTTCACGTTTGCGGAGTGCAATCACAGCAGAGCGCTTTAGTTTACGCTTGACCGGGTTGCACGTTTGCTGACCTTCTTCTTGCTGAACTTCAGCTACGACTCGGGGACAGCAGGCAGCTTCCTGGAAGGTTGTTTGCCCTTTGCTTCGGACTTCCTACCGGCCGTGGTGGTAGTCATCTTAACTTGTAACTTAGCACGTTGAGAAGGCGAAAAAAAGTTCGCCAAATGTTTGGAGCACCTCTTAACTAACGCCACTCGATTAATAACATTTCTATTAAACACAATGGCCCGTAGTTATAGTCAAAATAAAGTCGACTCTAAAGTTAAAAGCAGGTTTTTTTGACAGATATCCCATTGAAAGTTATGTCAAAAAGCTGCTTTTAACTTTAGAGTCGACTTTATTTTGACTATAACTACGGGCCAATTTCATTTAATTAATTACTTTTTTAATACATAGATATGCTGCACCCAGGCACTTACTTTCCCAAATTCTATCTTGCTTATCGGCATAATTTTCCAAATGTGCCTGCGCTGCTACTTCGTACTAATCACTTCATTTTCCAACTGCGCCTTGTTTTTTGCCTCAACATATCCTAAAAACATAAAATTTACATTAAACAATAGAAATCGAAAAAGTTAGCAAATAAAATACTCACTTCGTTTTGTTTTGTTGTTAAATTTCTGAGAAATGTGAATTCACCACGATGCAATACAGAGAGTAGAAGGACCAGGGATGTAATTTTAAGTAACCTCTTATTCAGTGGCAATGCGCAGAGCGTCCCGAGTGCCAAAATTAATTTGCATCAAATATAACATTAAACGGTGGTTCTAGTCCATTTTTCATATTACTAATCAGAGTATATACATTATATGGTATTTCTTTCAAAAATTAATGCACTATACGCATATTTTTTTTTAATATTTCTTAAGTTTCTTGCATTGGTGCTGAAAAGCAACCATGCGTGTAAGAAATTGTATGCTACCTAAAATTTCACCTCTGGAAACTTTATTCCCATAAAGGACTTCACCACAGTTTTTTTACTGGATATACTGAGGTGTGCTCTGTCCACTAATAGGGCATTCGCACGTGGCGATTTTACAGGCAACAAAAGTTGAATACGTAGTTGAATGAGAAGTTGAAAGTGAAAAAGTTGCCATCCCTATTCAGACGAGGCGATTTTCGATTCAACACGAATCGTTATTTACATTATTGAAAATGAATTTAAATCGCAAAATTTTATCAATTGGCGTAAATTTGGTAAGCCAAGCGTTGGTAGAAGTGCTTTTAGCGAAGCTGAAAGATAAAATAAGAGTAAAAAAGTAGAAAAGAAGAAAAAGTATGTATACAGAACAGTGTTGGCATTTTTGGTACAATTGTACTTGTTTGATACAATTTCATTTACAATATACTTTCCTACTACGCAGTACTTTTTAGTACAATTTTGTAATCAATACTAAAAATATATAGCTCTGAAAATTCACAGCAAGAAATTTTTTGTATTCTCTTTTGTTCGCCTGTTCGTATTTACCTTTGTAAGTTTTGAAAAATGGCTTGAACGAACCAGTATAATATAGCCTAGGCAAATTTTTAGAGAAACTTTTCGATACTAAGTTTTATTAAAACAAAATCTCGAAGTCAGCTTCATATAGAAACAAAGTCTTCGTTAGTTATAAGAAGAGATTTTCTTAAATATAAAACCTTTACGGCACTCACATATTGACAAGATTTTACTATTTATTTTATTATTCTTTAATTTTAATTATCCGTTTATAAAATATAATGTATTCTTTAAGAAAAACTGTATAAAGCCAAGATTAAATCTTTCATTCCATCCATTCAATTTTAGTATAATAAAGTGCAAGTTTAAAGTAGCTGGGACTTACCGTTGAACTTGGCAATTTTTTTTGTCGACGATGTCAGCTGTCAGAAAATTAGCAACCCCTTCATCAAAGAAATCTTAAAAAACTTTGTTATATTAAAATTTAATGGGCTAAAGACCGCACTCAAAATAAATCTAGGAAATCGAATTAAAAAGTTCGAAATTTTTACGAAAGTGTGTTGGTTTTTTTTTAATGTTGCACAAAGTTTGAACCTTGGATTTGTATGGCTTTTCTTAAAATATAAACAGTATTTAAAAAAAATAATTAAAATTGAATAATAATAAGATAAATGGTCAAATCTTGTCGTAAAGTTTTGAAAAGCACTTGAAGTGCTATTAAAATGTCAAATTTTAGTACTGAATCCAAAGGAAAATGTCTCTTTTATCCATTAATAATAACTTAAATATGCTTTTTGTTAAGATGTATACCTGAAAATGTGTACATACATATTTGCGTTAAATGCAGTACATGTGCACGTGGACTCAATTTGTAAAAGTGTAAAATACGTAAACGTATGTACATAAACAATAAAACTTTCTCATGAATACCATAAAATCATTGGTCTTGAAGGGAATATACTAAGATAATATATGAGCGAATTAAAAAGTATATACAATTTATAGCCGAAAAGTACCTTTCTTGTATAGATTTCGTACTGAGGGAACAATTTTATTTCCCAACACTGATACAGAATGTAAACAAACACAGGGTTGCAAGGAAAAAAAGTTGAACGAGCTCAAAGTTGGCTGGCGGCCAACTTTGTTGAAAGCAATTAGTTGAAAGGCCGTTCGGACGAGGCGATTTTTGCTTTCAACTAAAAGTTGCCTGTAAAATCGCCTCGTGCGAATGCCCTATAACGAATTCCAGCCATGTGTGAAATATCGTATGTGAAGCCTCCGTCTGACTTAACGATTGTCAAAGGCATGCCAGAAGATGTTTCATCATATGTTTTCGGCCATCGTCTTCTTCGAGTAAGTTCATCGATACCAAAAACTTTACAACCTTTATGTGCCAGCAGCCCTTAGTGTTTTTGCCAATGACATGGTACTATTGCACTGTTAATAACCAAATTTAGCCGCAGTTGCATTCACACGTGATATAATAGCTAGTGTCGGCAAGCTGTGGGAATGCCCAGGAGATGGCGTTTGTTCAGCTATCGAAATCATTACACAGACGGCGGTGGGCAGTTCTGCTGGAACATATTTACCACAGCAGTGGTTGCGGCGTTTTGTTCTGCAACAAGAGCCTGCAATGATGTCATGTCATATAATATCGACGAATATAGATATACAATTTAAAATGACTAACCTTATTCCCGGCCGATTTGGGAGACCACCCTTGGCCACGACGCCTTTACCAAGAGGAAACACCGCAGGGATTGCAGTAGTTCTTGCAATCACCGTTGATGATGCTGTGCTTGTAATTAATAGTCTGAAAATACAGAAAATTGCATTAATGAAATGTTATACACATCAAATAAATCAATTTAAATAATTTGTTTACCATTTCACAAACCGAATTACCAAGAAATAGAAACTCACCGCGATGCAATACAGAAATAAAAACCAACAGGGCTGCATTTTCTTGGTAAACAACACAAGCGCTCAGAGCAATCTGATCCCCAAAATTATTTTGTGAAAAATAATAGTTGAAAAGAGTTTTTACACATGATTATCACATTAACTCATAAGTGTAAATTATTGTGATTATTTTTAGTTGAATATAATTGTATTACCTTAGACTTTTTTTAATGTTTTGTAATATTCTGTCTTTTGGGACGCATAAGCAACCATGTCCTCAATTTCTTGTGGGGAAATTTGGTCTCCATAAAGGACTTTCACCACGAAACAGCTACAAAAACAAAAACCTTTTCTACTGGTATCAAGGCGAATTTATACAAGGTGGTGTTGATGGCGAATTAAATTTTCGCCGCGGTACTACTGAATGTCAAAATGATGTGTTTGTTCTAAACAAGGCGAATTCATTTTACAACAAACACATCATTTTGACATTAAGACGTACCTCGGCGAAAATATAAATTCGCCATCAACACCACCTTGTATAAATTCGCCTTGACTGGTATACTGTGCAAAAGCTTTGCACACACACGAACCCACACTACTACGTCTATACGTAAGCTATTTGCAAATACCTAACTCACTGTTTATTCGATGGTGAAAAATTCTTTTTTAATATTGCCTGATTATAAAAAGGCAGTAATATGAGAATCGAAAAGGAAAATAAAGTTAAAAATGACAACGTCTTGATTATAAAAAGGCAATAAGATGACCATCGAAAAGGAAAATTAACCTAAGGCTTTCTGCACATTGGTCGTCCAATCATAGTTGCTTCATCGTCACAATCATGATGCAACGATTACATGACGACTACACTTTCGCACACTCGGTCGTGATATTTAAATTCATTTGGCGTCTAAAAATTCACTTGGAGCAGGTATTTCCTGTTTTTCTGGTTGATATTTTCGCGAAATATTTACAAAAACGTGCAATTTTTAAAATATAGACTGTGCTGCAACAATTCTAGTCATCATTTTTCAGTAATCTCTCCTTTTCTTTTCTTTTCTTTTCTTTTCTTTTCTTTTCTTTTCTTTTCT